GGGTAAATAATTGATGTGTTATTTACTGCTTTCATTTACAGTCTAATTAGTTAGTGCAGTAGTCAATGTCACAGTGGATGTCATTACTTTGGTAATAACATCTATCGTGTGCCTGCCAGAATTTTCAAGTTACATGCTTGAAACCAGCTGAAACTTTCTCCTTCCCACAGTTGCAACATTCTTGCAAAATCTCACTAAATTTCCAAGTGCACAAAATCTGTTTTTGCACTTTCACCCCTAAAACCTTTTTCAAACACTTTAAAACACAAACCAAGCCTCAAACACATCATAAGTGATGTGTTAGAGTTGTCCAAACCCTCACCTTGGCCAGAAACACATCCAACCCAAAAGTTAACCCTCAAAACCTCATTTTGTTGACTTTTTGCATTTTAAATGACAGCCACTGGTCCCTTGCCTTTCATTGAGTTTTAAGACCTCTAACACTTCATATTTGACATATAAAAGCTGTCCATCATCAACCTACACTTCTGTAATAAGGATTGAAGGAGTTGTCTTTGAAAATCATTGGATTTTGGAGGTTTTTCTTCACTTGCAAGCCATTCTTTCCATCAACTTGCTTGAACTTGATTTGAAGCATCTTCTCATCATACTAGTAGAACTTTTATACCTTGGAGGAGCACTAAAAGTCTCTGGTTTTCTTATTGTGCATGCTTGCTTCAAGAGGTAAGCCTAAAACACAAGAAAACATGAAATTTTCATTTGCATTTCACATGCTACCATGACTTTTAGCTATGATTTGGTGTTGTACATTGTTTGAACATGTCTTATGTATGTTATATGTCATGTATGAACCATTTCTTTCATCAAAACATGTAGTTTTTGAACTATCAAATTCTGGCCACAAACTAGGCCCAACCTAGTCATTTTTTGCATTTTGCATCCAATATGCCAAACCATGTGTTCATATCTTTATTTATTTTGTGCTAACCTCTTAATATTATATATATGTGATGTTTGTACACTTGTTTCACCAATCCTTCACGCAAATGACCCTTAGGTTGTGACCTAGCCTTGCCCTAGTTTTTGCCCTCTTGGTGCACTAACTTGCATTGACCATAATTGCTTATTTTTTGTGATATTGATGCAATTATTTTTGAAAAATACTTATTATCTTGCCTATTTAATTTAGTGAATAAATAACTCAAGGATTGTTATCCTAGAAAGACTGTGATCCACTTTAAAAACATGTGTTTTTAGGGTTTTTACCTTGGCGTTCTTGAACTTTTTCAAACTTATAACCTGATTTTTCTTATGAGATTGACCTTGTATTATTCATATATGTTTTTTTAACATATTTAAGTGTTCAAATATGTTGGATTAATTTCTTTAACATGTTCATAATTGCTTTTGTGAATGCATATATGTGAAAATTTCCTGTTGAACTTCATCTGTGAACTTTGCCATGATTCTTGATGTTGTGACCTCTTGAATGTGTTTACAATGTCCTATCTTATTTGTTTATGTGTCTTGTTAGAACCATAACATGTTTAGGTTTTGTTTCTTGCCTTTGTGAATGCTTGAACATGCATGGTATGCCTTGAACTTCATCTGTGAACTTTGACATGATTCTTGATGTTGTAACCTCTTGAATATGTTTATCATGCTTCATTCCACTTGTTTACGTATATTTTTATAACCATAACATGCTAGGGATTATTTGTTTTCTTGTTTGTTACCATGTAGCTTGTTTACTTCTCCCCATGAAATCATACTTGAATTGTTGTAACATTTCTTGTGTTCTTGCTCATTTGATTGTCATCAACCCATGTTTAGTTGGTCTTATGTTGTTACATTTGATCTCATTTGATCCTTATATTATGCTTGCTTCAAGTTGTCACTTGTTTTCCTTAATCTTGTTTGCATGTTATAGATAAACTTGTTGTTGTTATACATGTTCTTTGCTTACATTGTTGGTTATTACCTCTATGTCTTTTGATCATTGTTAAGATGTTAAATATTGATCTTGGTTGTTATCATGATTGTTTACATGCTCTTACTTTATTTCTTCAACTTTGTCAAGTTATTCCCCAGTGATTGAAATTGTTAGTTCACATCAAGTTGTATGTATCCCTTATATTCAAAGGAAAGTCTCCCTATTGACCTCTAGGTCATAGGTAGCTCATGAACCTTATAGGCCTTGATAGAGCCATTTACCTTTTAGAACTTAGGTTTAGAGTTCTTCTTCTTTAGTCATGTCTGAACTACGGACGCTCTGATTTCTCATTGGTTAATAGGAATACGTAGGCACAAGATGCGATATCTTGACGAGCACACCCCTGACGCGGTCAGAGTCAATCCTTATAGGCCTTGATAGAGCCTCCTCCCTCCCTTTTGGTCTGGATAGAACCAATTGGTCTTACAACATAGAATTAGGTAGATTTGGTTAACTCTATGTAAGAATCATGGTGATGATTACTTACTCCTCATTTTTTAGTGTTTAATATAGATCTAGAGAGTTTGGTTAAAATTTACACAAGCATTATTATATTTGTTCCCCTAGAGTCTTGACCATAGTTAAGTACTTTTTAATCCTCGGTGAGGTGAACTATGATTGCTCTGATTCTATCCTAGTTAGGATACGTAGGCAGAAGACGCGATATCTTTGCGAGCAAACTTAGAAACTATCAACCTTAGGTCTTTACCTTCAAAACCCAAACCATAATCTCAATGCACAACATAACCATAGAAAGCTTCGCATACAAACATACGAAAGGTTTATGTAGAGTACTACAGATGTTTAGGATGTGAAATACCTACCCTAGACATAACCAACCCCCGATCCCCGATCTCTTAGCATTGTTGTTACAGCGCGTAAAAAGTATTTCTTTCTTTAACCTTTCCTTTGGATATATCAATGTCCGGTTGTGAATTTAATTAATTAAGATTCAAGTTAATCAATAGCTATACATCACGATTCTCACTACAACACCCATCATAGAAAGAAGGTAACCCTTCCAAGTAGCTAAGTTGACCAATACTTTATTTATTATGATCCGAACACGAAGATTTTTAGGTTTTCCTTTGAATATAAGAATTCAAAGATAGTTAAATGGTGGTTGTCCCAAAGTGAAGCCAAGCATATCAGCAATGTGCATCTTCCTAGATCTTGAACTAGCTCCACCATAAGTTTACACTTAGTTGGACTGATGTATTGACCATAATTCTAACCACATTCTTGAAGGAGATGGTAAATAACTTAAGGTCATATGCAAGAAAGAGTGTGGATATTAATGGTTTTTCTTATCAACTAATATGCATGTAAGCTAACTATGATTCACCAACATAAATAACTTCCTACTAAGTGTCAATTCAGCAATGCAGAAGAGCGAGAGAGAAAAAGGATGTTCTTGTGTACCGACTAGCGTCGTATTCGACCGAGGCCTAAAGTTTACTTCTAGATTTTGGAAGGCTTTCACCCATACAATGGGAACTAATTTAAACCTCAGTACCTCTTATAATCCTCAATTTAATGGCCAGACGGTAAGAACCATTCAGACCATGAAATACATGTTACATGCGTGTATCTTGGAAAGTGAAGGGAGGTTGAATCACCACTTTCCTTTTATCAAATTCTCATATAACAATAGTTATCACTCGAGTATTATAATGGAACCATATGAAGCATTGTATGGAAGGAAGTGTAAGACGCCTTTATGTTGGGCGGAAGTCAGAGACAAAGGTATCATATGACCGAAGATAATTAAAGAAACCATGGAGAAAATAAGAATTATCTAAAAAAAATATATGTAAAAGGCTCAATCTTGGCATAACAGTGATGCGTGTCGGTGTAGAAGGCCTTTGGAATTGATGAGAGGATCATGCGTTCTTGAAGGTTACCCCTAAGTTAGGGCTAAAAGACATTGTTCAATACAAAAAAATTGAATCTCTAGTGCATTGGTTTGTACCACATCATAAGTATGGTAGATGAAGTTGCTTATCGGTTGGTATTTCCACCTTCCCTATCCAAAATTTATGATGTGTTCCATGTATCTCAGCTTAAGAAATTCATACCAGATTTGTTTCAATCTATCTTTTCAGATACAGTTGAAATTGTAGCAGTTCTCACCTTTCAATCGCAACCTAGTATCATTATGGATTATGCAATCAAATTGCTAAGGAACAAGGAAATACCTCTAGTGAAGGTGTTGTTAGAAGAGTCACACCCCTGCAAAGCTACTTGGGAGCTGGAGTCGAGAATGCGCCCTAACTACCCTCATCTCTTAAGTAATTCTCTAAATTTAGAAGCCGAAATGTTTAAGGGGGAATCTAAAATATTCATTATTTCTTAGCCCTTAGTTAGTATATAATATAAGAATAATTATAAAAATAGAATCTATAACATTAATCTCTTAGTGGCATAATTATTAAATTAGGCTTAATAGCAAGGGCAATGAGGTCTTTTCCATAGACGATATATAATTCATTGTAAGCATTTCTCACAATTTCTCTTCATTCTTCTTGGAAACAGTTTAGAAAATTAAGAGAGTCAAGAAAGGAGAAAGGGTGTGCTAGAGAGGGGGATGGAAGAGGCTTGATCAATGTGAAAATTGCCTTGCATTTTAAGGATTTGAGGAAGAATTAAGGGAAGGTTTCAAAGAATCATCAGAAAATTATCATCATCATCATCTCATCTTCTCTAATTCAGAATTTTTCATAAAAAATGATGGGTCCTTTAGGTTAATTTGATTAAGTTTAGATCACCTTAAGATTATTACATGATAGAGTTAGGGTATTAATCCATGTTTGATTGTTTTCTTACCTGATTCTATGTCATAATTTCTTGTTGATTATAAATACATATGTGAGAATTGATGCATGCTCGGTTTGATATGATAATAAAGATGTTCATATATTGTTTGACAACTACTGATAACCTTTATTCTATAGGATATACCAACTGTACAAGATAATTAGAAAACGACCATCAACATAACAAAATCCTCCATAAAACAAGAAGAACAAAAAGTTCCATAAAAACATTAGACTCCAGCTGGATTTGAAGCATTATCAGCATCATCATTATTATTTTCTCCCTTGCACCAAAAAATAGCATATAGTAAAAGTTGAACAAATCCAGAGATTACTCCAACACCATTGCTGATCTGCAATATTTTTTCAAAATTATATTAGTCAAACAATGAATGAGTTAAATATATATAATCCAATTGAACTATATATATTAATTACCAAAACATAAATGTCAAAGGGGTGGATCAAGGCATATGTTGTCCAGCATAATCCATTAAGAAAGTTAGCAAGAGAGAGCCAAAATGGCATGTATTTCACACTCTTAGTTTTAATAACCTTTGCCTGCTCATAATATGTCACAAAATATCATGATTAGTTAGTAGTAAAATATTTTATAAATAAAACTTTACTTTACATTATTCTATCATATCTCATCATTTAAATATGTCAAATTTTATTTTTTAAAATATCAACAAAATATCTCTATAATGATATTTGATTGGAGTTTGGACATATGTGTAAAAAGAATTATTGTAGGAAAAATATTTTACAGTTAATTGATACAAATTAAATTATTTAAATAAACTTATAACTTATAAGTTACTTACCATGACAGTAAGAGGAGAGACATACATCATTATATTAAAGATATCACAAATAATACCAACCACCAAAGATCTATTTTTAGTGCCATGTAGTGTTAACATTGTTATAAGAACAATAGCAGCAAAGAAAATAGCCTCAATGAATAAATAAAGAATCAACTTCTTCTGAAATTAGAAAAAAAAAATAGTAGTGAGCAATAGAAAAATAATTATTTCATTAACTAGAGTTGAAACATGATATTACCCTTCCTTTGTTGTTGGCATATACATAAAATATGGTGAGATACACAAACTCAAAAACAAGTCCAACACCATTGATGGTAACAACCAAAAGACTATTTGGATGCACAAAAGGCATTCCATAAAACACCCAAAATGCACAGTTCAGCACTGTGGCTATGTATGGATCAGGCTTGAACTCCTCCACATCTTTATTCTTTATAATTTTATAAAAAGTTGGACTGCAATTTATTTCAATAATTAATAATTCTTAACAAATATTCAATAATAAACATATTATTACTTTTTTTAATGATTCCTCGTAAAAAAAATCAAAAACATAAAATAGTATTAATTAGATAAAAGAGTTCAATTACGCTGGTGAGAAGAATAATCCGAACGATATAACATTTCCTACATTGAAATTTTAAAACAAAACATTGATTAGAAAAAAAAATATATTTTTCATGCATGGTTTAATTGATCAAGAGAAGAGAAAGACAAGAATAACAAACCTATAATGCCAACAACGTTACGAGCTATTGAAGCGCTCACCATTTTTTTTAAGAAATAATACAAAATAGAAAACACACTCAAAAACTAGAATGTGAAAAATAATACATGAAGAAGAATGAAACAAATGGTGGTTATAAAGAGCTTTTTTTTTTACACTTAATTACCTTATTATAGTTATTACATCTCATCCAAATTCAAAATTTGACAACGAAAATCAAAAACATGCATTGTGTAATGATGTATTCAATTTGTTTCTTTAACAATATGACAAGTGGATTTAAAAGTCTTTTAAGTTAGTTATTTGAGTTTATCTATTAAAAATTCGTAGTGTTATGAAGAAACCAAAGCACTAAAATTAGTATTTCTTTGATTATTTGTGGGAGAGTTTATGATAACTACTTATAATATATGCTTGTAATATGTTTTTAATTTATTTTCATTAATTATGTAAAATAGTTTATGAAAATAATTATTTTTACATATAAGCACTTATATGATAAATAATTAAACTATACGTAAATCATTAATTAAATATGATATTAACTAATGACTAATATGTGTTGCACCCTAAAATTTGCCCAACCTTATTCAATTGGTTTATGTTTCAATATCATTAGCATTTGCATATAGAGTCATGTGCATAGACTAACCATCTGCATAGCATAAGCATAGCAAGTCATTCAACAGGGGACCAATCATTATTTTCATCTCTAGAGGCCTATCAAGAGGTTATTATCCCAATTCAATCTCATTCAAGTCATCAGGAAAGAATTTGAAAGCAAAGAGTTCAGCAGATCAAGCCTTGAGTCCATCTCCTAGCTGAGGGTATCTGAGGATCAACAAGAGGGTTGTGAGCTGTGGAGTGAAGGTATGAAGAGCATCTAGACCTTATGAGAGACTTACAAAGTCATTTGGAGAAGAAAGCAAGTCATTGATGAAAGCACAAGAGCTATAGTGGAAGACAGTCAACTAGGGTTTCATCTGGGTCAACCCTAGGTCAACCCTAGGTCAATTGACTGACTTAGGAGGGCATTCAAGTCTATTGGAGAGATGTGGGGATCATCATTGAGCATATAAAGAAGGATATGGAGATATGACAAGAAGAATTCAAGAGAAATCAAGGAGAAGAGGAGTTACTAAATTAGGGTTTCTCTGTAAAATCCCCTAGTTTAGGTCAAATTTCCAAGCAAGATAAGTCAAAATGCTAGTTTCAAATGGCTTCTTGGCCAACATGAAACTTGTAGAGGATCTCAAGACCTTTAATTTGAGTGGTGGAAGACCTCAAGGAGATTTATAGAACTCAAGTTATGGTCCTTGCAAGTTACAGGTCATCTGGGGTATCTGAATTTTTGTCTGTGAAAGTGACTTGACTTCCAAGCTAGTTTTGCCCCTCAAGGAGATTTCAAATGAATTCTTGGTCAACATAAGAATTGTTCCTCATTGTCTTAGCTTTCTAAAATGGTATGGCATGCCTTCATATGATGTGGAGAACTCAACTTATGGTCTTGACAAGCAAAGGGTATTTTGGGCATTTGTGAATTACAGGTCATTTTAACCTATACCCAAAACTCATACAAGGAGGCCTCAAATGGAAAAACTTACAACATCAAACTTGCTCCAAATGGGATTTTAAGTCTAGAAAGAAGGTCACAAGTTATTGGAGAAGCTCATAGCAGGGAGTTGCATGATAGGTCAAAATATGAACTAAAAAGGCTTATAAAGTGAATAATTTCAAGTTGGAAAATGGTTTGGGAGATTTACAAGTCCAAATGGAGACTTCCAATATATGATTTTGAATGGAAAAACAATTCTAAGAACAATGGTTCACACACTTTTTTGAGTTTAGAAGGAAAAAATGAAGTTATCCATGGTTGCTTATCATTTAAGAAACATAATCAAAATGGATCAAAATTTGAAAACAAGGGAATGTGCAAGATGGATCTAGAATGTTCATTTGGGGTCTATATATTCATGAAATGTGCATTGATCAAGGGTTGGCCTCATTTGCACCAAGAATTCCACAAAATCTCTCATACTTTTCCATAAAAGTTTCATTACAATTCTCTCAAAACCTTCAACAACTTTCATCATAATCAATTCAATTCCACTCCATCATCATCATAGATCATAATTGAAGCAAGTTTCTGGTGGTTATCATCCATTTTCGAGTGCTTTTCTCAAGATCATCAAAATCACAAGTTCAAGTGGATTGCATGATTCAAGCAAGGAACCTCCAAGTTTGTGCATACAGAATCAAGTTCTTCAAGGATTGATCAGGATTCAACACTTGAAAGCCTCAGATCTTTCATCTCCATAGCTGTTTCTCAAGATTTCTTACAAGGTAAGTTTTCAATCAAACTGCTTGATCCAGTTAGTTAGGCATGATTTTGTTAGTGTAGAATTGATCTAGGTGGTTAGGAGATTAGGTTAGATGAATTTGGAGAGTTTTGGTGATGGTTAGTGACAGGTGTAAGGAACTGTTTGTGTTCGAATCTCTTGGATGAAGGTGTTATAATTGCAACTTGATAGCATGTGTTAATCTCCATTAGGTGTAGTTTAATTTAGGCTAAGTCTGAGGAAGAATGGTGAAGGTCTATACCAGTGCATTTCAATGGAGGCAGGATGTTGACTCAATCGAATTTGTTGATGTGGTGAATTTCAAAGTGAATTGATGCCCTAAGCTTGTAGAGGGAGAGATTTGGAACAGATTTCATGTTTACAGCATGGGGATTGGTTGCGTGTATGATGAGAACGAAGAGGTGGAAGGTAGGTCGTGCATGGCTGCCATGGAGAAGATAAAACCCTAGGTTGCAGGTCGTTTGGAGAAGACGTAATCAGGGCCATTCATTGCGCCTTGGACCTTTGACTTAGGGTAGGATCTAATGGCTGTTATTCAATCTGAAATTGGAGGGAGATTACCCTGGCCCTAAACGCACCGTTTCATTAATTGAAACGGGCGGGCCTGAGTGCTGTTGATAACCACACCCCCGTGTGAGCCCAAAGCCAATATTTCAACGTGGCTTTCTTACTTCCTTCACCCCCAGCGCGTTGTTATAATTCTGAGTGAATTCTGGGCTTAACCAAAATGCTATGCGCGCCCCCTATTGTTGGCCCATTCTGGATTTATAACTGGGCGAATTTCTTTTCATACCCCCTCTGGCTCATTTTAGTTCATTTTATTTTTTCTTATTTCATTTTAATTTTTCATCATTTTCATAAAATCATAATAAATTCATAAAAAATGCTTTTTAACTCATTCTTTTTACCATATTTTCATGAAAATGTCTAGAATATTATAGAAAAATAAAATTTCATTTTTAGTTTTATTTCATATTTTTTACATATTTTCTAAATAAATAGCATAATAAATAGTTACATTTCATGCATTATTTTTATGATTTTTGTTCTCTCACATGCTTTAATATTTTTTGATCATTCTTTTCATATTGTGTAGATGAGATGTTAAGCTTGTAGAAATATTTTATTTCCCATTTTTAGGAGTTAATTTTAGGTGATTAATAAATGCTTGAATATCATGATCAGAACTAGGGTTTTTAGGTGACAACTTAGGAGTTTAATTTCATTCCCCTTAGGATTTAGGATTTAAATAAATTAGTTATGGGACTATATGGGCTATGGGTAGCTATTAGATCCCTTAGAGAAAAGTCAGGATTCCCCTACTGATATTATTACTGTCTGTATATCTGCTGTCTGGTGTGGTGTGCCCTCTGGGGATTGTTGATTGTTTGATTGGGTATTGGGTTTGTCTGGGGCCCTGGGGAAGCTGAAGATTTGTGGAGATGAAGCTATTGGAGATTCAAAGACTGAAGATCAACTGTCAGAGTTGAGGATGAGTTTCTTGCTAGCAGTTGCTGAAGAGATTAGGGTTTAGGAGCTAGGCAGAGCTCTAGATTAGAATGATTGTTTCTCAAACATGGATTGCCTGGTCTGCATCCATTCTTCTCTGTGATTCAGAGTCTCTCTAAGACACTCACCCCCTTCCTTTGGAAGGCTTGGTGATAGTGTCTGTGAGATAGAACTCTTGAGAGAAAATGTCTCTTTGTGTTAGAAGCAGTCTGTTCACCACCTTTGGTAGTCAGCTGATTGCTTAACACTCAATTCACTCTTGTGACTAATCCCTTATCCTGGAGGTTTGAGCTTGAAGAAAAGCCATTGCAGATGGAAGACTGACGATCAAAACCCTTGCCTGAAGGTCATGAAGATGGAGATTGATGCTTGCGGAAGCCTGTAGTTGATTGGAGATTGCTTGAAGCCAGTTGTTGATTCAGAGCTGCTGATGCTGCTTCTTTTGCTGTTGTATTTCATTGCTGACGTATTGATTGGTTTTCTGAACTGTATTGTTTGCTGTTTACCCTGCTGGGTTGAAAGTGAAGTCTGTTCACTTTTGCCTATTGTTTTCTAGGTTCGAGGTTGAGTGGGACTCCCTTGCCTCGCTTGTACTGTTGCATCCATGCATTTTACTGCTTTACTGTATATATCTGATATTGTTTCTGTTTCTGCCTATCCCTTAGGATCTCTGTTTCTCTCTGTGCAAGAGAGGAGCATGATAGACACTAGGTCTTAACCCATGCATGATAACATTAGGATAGTTTGATTCCCTTCGCAACCGTAGGATAGAGTTCTGTCTCTTTCTTTCTCAGAACAAACAGAAAAACACATAAAGATTTCAAACACAATAAAAGACACTTCTTTCGTAAAAGAACGTGAACTCATCAAGACGTCATTTTTGTCCGCTTGGACCGCTAATCAGAAAACCTTTTTTCAGAAAGAATAAAATCAACCAAGACAAGCTTGTGTCTTCCGTGGCCCGAACTACGTTTGCTCTGATCTTCCATGCAGTGTGGAAGTACGTAGGCATAGGATGCGATATCCTAGCGAGCAACCTTCCCCTCCTTTCCCGTAGGTAGGCGAACTACGTTGACTCTGATTTCTCGTTCCAGACGGGAATACGTAGGCATAAAGTGCGATACTTTGCCGAGTCATTTTTATTTTCATTCTCTTTTTTCTTTTCAACCCTTGAC